TTACGTCGAATGGCCGTCCGATCGTCGTGGAAGGAGTCGTCCTTTGGCGGCTCGTTGACCTCTCCCAAGTGGTGCAATGGCCAATCCTCGAGTCCGGGTTGCGGGTGAATGGCTGAGCTGTTCCTTGTTAATTGTCGAACATTGTCGGATAGTTGATTTATTAAAATGGCTTATTCGTGTGTTTTTACAATCTCTTTTTGTACAAAGTATATGATTTCTTATAGTGTATAAATAAATCGGTTTTTACAATTTATAATTGGAGTTTACAATTTATGCCATGGTTTTTACCCTTTGGCTAGGTACAGAGTACACGATTTCTTATAGTTGTATGAATACATTGGTTATTACAATTTATAATAGGATTTTACAATTTATTACGTTGTTTTACCCTTTGGGCTACAAAGTAGAGAAAAAAAACCCATTTAGGTCGTGCATTATTAACGTTCGAGGAGAAATCGGTTATTTAGTTAGTTGTAGCAACCCATTACAAAAGTTATTGCATGCACTTTTGACCTAGGTCAGTAGAATACCCCTCCTCTCCGATCATTATGACCATGTTATCGTATACAGTTTGAACCTAGGGCAGTGTCTTACTCCCTCCCTTCGGCACCCCGTCCATGTGTGCATATTTGACCTAGGTCAGTGCCGTACCACACCATAACAACATGTTTGCACAGTTCACCTATACCGTACCCCCACCTCGACGGGTACGGTGTGACGGCGCCCTGTCCTCGCCCGGTGTCTGGAACATCCACGGGCTTATCAATTTAATGTATGGTTAATTGTAAGTATGGGGTATGTGTGACGTCACCACGGTTAAAAAAATTATTATACGTGTCGGTCATCTTTGATATAGTTGATATTTGTTGTCGACATAAACATCAGTTTAGTGTGAGTTCTGAATCAAGATGGACCTGGTTCGGAAAATCGATAAACAACTGGAGAGATTATTTTTAATACGTACAGATCGTGTTATGTTCAAAAGAGTGTCTAAAATGTCTAAAAAATACGCTATTTTGAAAAACTTGGCTCAGCAATATGGATCAATATCAAATAAAGATGAACAATACCCAAAATGTATTTGTAATTCCTCAGGATGGGATCAAATCGATGGTCCGTGCGCATGCTCAATCGTTAAAAGTATTTACAGTGAACTTCAAGAGGAATTAAGTAAAATTACAAGTGGGGACATTTATGATGATGATAAACGTGTACAAAATGTAGACCATTAGTCTACGACACTTGTGCAAGATGGCAAGTCACCAGAAGCAGCAACATCATCCGTCTGATTATTTAATCGATACTTCTGTGTTTTATATCGATTCTCTGACACACGTTCACATTGGATTGGATTCAAGAGATTTGTTTTGGCCTAAAATTGTGTTTGTCAACGGAATCGATCGGATACCAATAAATATTCAGTTTTTACAACGTCTATACTCAATATATCCTTACTTTTCCTCACTTTACCATGATTTGGACGGGTGTCTGGAACATCCACGGGCTTATCAATTTAATGTATGGTTAATTGTAAGTATGGGGTATGTGTGACGTCACCACGGTTAAATAAATTACCACGCGCGGGCGGCGGCCGCGATTGACATTCATTTTTAAATGTAAACAAACGTCTAGTTTAATATACTACAACCCTCGGTGGCCTCTTTGATGGATATCAAAATATTATACAATATACAATGTAATATTATGTATATTATGTCGACGTCGGTTGTTATTCAGCTTATCATATATATATATATAAATTATGCCACAGTAACTGTATAAAAAATCAAGCGTGGGGGTAAAAAAAAAAATGCACACGAGTTGGTATCGAGCGACAATAATTTTAAAATGTAAACAGTCATATGTTATTATAATATAATATTCGTGTAAGATTTGAGTGGAATGTTTGTTATCACAGTGGTAGGGTACAAATATTATCACAAATCAGTTTGCTGTAAAAATAATTTTAACACAATGATAATATGGAACTCTCGGATTTATTTTTGCGTTAGCAACCAAAATATTATAACACTGTACTGCATATATATATTTAGTATATGCTTACCAGAGTTAATCAGTGTTGAGGACCATTGTATGTTTTATCACAACCCCAAGTACAATAATATTGATAAAAAAAATCTATACATACATGACTTAAACTGCGTAGTAACTTTGCACGTGTATATCCAAATATTATAATATTGTATTGTATGTATATAATGTAAGCTTACCAGTATTATTGTAATGTGATGAAGTCCTTTGTATGTGAGTTTTATGAAATCATTAAACTATAAGATTATTGATAGAAAAAAATTGTAATATACGTGACTTAATTTATATTTTCCTCGCACGTGTAATTTTTTTGTTCATTTGCAAGTGCGTGGGATAATTTTATTTATATTATTTAACACATATCTATGTATTAGTCAATTAAAAAATAATATACAGGGTAAACTATTTTAAATTTAATTAATTTGTAATGTATTAATCATGTATAATATATGATAGAATTTTTGTGTCACATTGTATAGTGTAAAATAATCTGATTAAAAATTGTTTAGGTATACAATTTTAAGCAAATCTTTATACATAAACATTTATTAATTAAACAAGAAGGGTTAGATTTTCACCTATTCGTAGGCTATAAATACAACCCGATTAGTTTGCAGAACATCATTTGTCCTGATGCCTTTGTAAACAAAATTTTTAAATTTAGTTCAATACAATTTTGTTTTATTAATCGCAACAGTTCAAATTATTTTCAGTAAGTAAAAATATTTATAACAACAATATATTTTATTTTCATCTCAAAAATTTACACAACAATATATTATTTCAGTTCGCTACCGTTGGCGTACCAAGGCGTTGATTTACAACACATACTCAGAAGATTCAAGAGTTATAATATCGTATGTTATATATTTTAAAATATAATAATAATTTTTAACTATACTTTATAAAATAAAATGTGTTGCCCTAACGATAGCCATGATACCGAACAAACCATAATATTTTTAAGATCTTTTAATGTATATTTATTCCACCATGTAGCCGATATACTAGAGACTTATAAGGAGAATTCGATATTCGATCAGGGAATAGATAGGTCTCAATTGTACTCAGAAGATGAGGTTGTCTTGAATACTATAAGGCAGGATTATAGTTCTTATGATATAGATTTAGAAAATAGAAGTATGGTTAATTTATTTGGGGTTAGTAATAAATTAATTTTCACGTTCATCGGTTTAAGTTTTCCGGATTTTTGTGATATAACTGTATGTTCCCAACAGTGTATGAATCGATTAAGTATGACAAACACCGAACAAATGGAAATTTGTGAAATTAAATTAGAAACGATTAAAATTAATCAATATTTAATGTTTTTTTTATTATCTAATGTTAATTCACATTCCCATTGTTCGGTATGCTCAAAACAATTGTTTAAATGGTTTGTTGGGTGAAAAAAAAACTATATATTAATGACAGTAATAAGGTTTAAGATTAGTACTAGTAATAACAGTTAAGTTTTTTTTGTAAAATATATATATATATTGAATTAAAAAAAAAAAATGTATGATATGTAAATTAATATGAGTTAAATGTGTACTATTATTTATTTTTCCTAGTGTATTTCAAAATTTAGGATACTGAATTATGTTAAATATCAATTAAATTGAGCGGTACAGGAGAAAAAAACCATGCAAAACATATTTTTAATTAATTTAAATTGGTATGAAAAAAAAATTTACTTAATATTTATTAATAATGCTTAAAAATTATTGATAAATGCATTTCGAATCGTTAATTTTATAAAAAAAAAAATATACCATTTTTAAAATGTGAATTGCATGGTTTTTACTTTCAATGTGCAATGTTGTTATATAAGAGTAATTACAAATTTTTTAAGGTAAGTTAGTTTTCAAAAATCAGAATCTGTTAAAAATTGATAGTATATAATTGTTTCTAAATTTAGAATATCATAATACATATTTAAATGATATAGATATATAAAAAAGTATTTTAAAATTATTAAAAGGATGATAAGTTATTATTTTATTCATAACTAAAAATGTATGAGATATTCGTTTCGAATCAAAACGAAAATTGTAAAAAAAGTGATTGACATGTTTGTTTTTTTTATATTCTATTTTTAAAGTATTATATTTGAATATTCAAGTTCATCTATCTAAAAACGTGTAGACTTCTAAACTACAGTATGACTTCTATCAAAGCAGTTTTATCAAGAAAATCAGGACCGATACGTGAAATAAACATGTGAATCATGTTTTTAAACAATATTATTCTTGAACTCTACAGGAAAGAAAAAGAAAGAATAAAAACATGTAAGTCACTTTAAAAGAAATATACATTTTTGATTTAGCTGTAATTAAAAATTAATAACACATTCATTTCGAATCAAAACGAGAATTTTATAAAATAAAACGTATAATTTTTTAAAAAGTGATTTACAGGTTTTTATTTTTTATTTTTAATACTCAAAATAAACTATTGAAAAACCGTTAGACTTATATACTATAGTTTGACTTTTATCAAATCATCTTTACCAATAAAATTTGAAACCAGAAATGTACTATTATATTAGCTAAAGATAATCTCTGATTAATAATTTTTTCAATATAATAGAACAGTTTCTGTATCAACAATTATTTAACATAACGTAAATAAATTGTTAAGGTAAGTTATTCTATAATAAAAAGACTTGATGGTATATAAAAATATGGTTTTTACATGTGTGTATGTGGGTTTTCACTTGAGAATTCAATATTCATGTTTTGTTCATTATAAAACCAATGTAATATAATTATTGAATATTTATGATTATCTACGATATAAATAAATAACACACGTAAATTAGTTTTAAAAAATTAATATTTTATACTTAAACTAATCATTAGTTTTTTTAAAAAATATTTTTATAAAAAGAGCAATACAAATTTTAAAAAATGTTAATGAAAAAATTTTTATGTATATTATTGTATGTACTTTATTCTTCGGAGGATTGGGCGGGTGACGGCGGACGACTCGGAAGTTACTGTTCTACATTCTCTGTACTGTTAACAGCTCTATTTAAAGCAATTACTTATTAATTTATTATTAAAAAAAAAAAAAAAAAAGGTTATTATAAATAATACTAACCGAAAAACAACCACAACCGGAACACGATGAAGAATAATTTCATGTCCCTCTGGGAAGTATTCGTATCCTAATTTTATTGAAAAAATCATAATTAAAAAAATATTTATAAAAAATTATATAATTTAAACTTACTTCTTTCAAGATACCTCACTAAATCTTGTTCAGGCATGATGGTGTTGTCGCAAACAGATTAAGATATCTAATGATTACTGAATCAGGCTAATATATTACCCCACCATATCGTTTGCACAAGAATCAATAGGAGATCAATTTTGCTTAATCTTAAAAAAATGGAAACAAACGATTCATTGTTTTAATATGTTAGCCCCGCCGGCCAAGCGCGGCGGACGACGGCGCGAACCCTCGACGGACCGGTGTAGACTATTTTAAATAAAATATATAATATTTTTGTTATTATCCCTTTTGTTAAATAAGTATGCTACACAATAATATAAATGTAGTATGAATAGTATTTAATTACTTTTTAAGGGAATATTAAAATAAATTAAAATGTAATTATTTCTTATAAATATTATATAATAAATCGATAAGTGTAATATTTAAACATTTGTTAATCGAATGTTGAGAGATAATCTTTGTATAATAATAATAATAATAAACTATCAATAACATGATATATATTAATTTAAATTAAGTTTTTAAATATTTACACATTAATATACTTTCAGAGAAAATCTTTACGAAATAACTATCAGAATGGAATCTTTAAAGTCAAAACTGAAAATACAATCCAAAGCCACAGAGTATATTAAGATGATGGAACTACAAATTGATCATCCCTATAGAGTTTTATATGTTAAAAATGTTGAAACAAAGTACAGAATTTGTGTTGTCGCAACACTCGAAATTGCCGACAATTCAAAACTGAACTTATTTTTACCCAAGTCCATTGAAATGACAGCTGAAGAAATTATTTTATATAATAATTCTGAACCTAAATTACATTTTACTTTTCATGGCATGAACGGAAATGCTTATAAGTTTGATTTTGAATAAATCAATATATCTAATATCAAAATGTGTATTCCATTTTTTTTTTTTTTTATAATAATTAATATTTTTCAATGGAAATGCTATTAAGTTTAATTTTGAATTGATGTATTGTTAAACATACTATATGTCTTTAATTTTGTCCAATAATAATTATTTTACGTAACATAATATATGAATTGTAATCATATATAAAAATATTTTATATCATGTGTATTTATATACATATATACTATAAACTTACATGAAAATAAAAACCAATAACTAACTATATAATTGAAATTTATTTATACTATAATTTTATTTAGTAATAATGATTTATATACAAGTAACTAAATAAAACAAAACATTGAAATATAATAGTATACTAAAGTGGTGTAGTAATAATAATATTATATTGGTCATAATAAATTGATGTGTACGGGTTAAATTTTCATACAACAAAATAATATTTTGGAATGTTGAATTAGCAACTGATTTTTTTTTGGTATTTTTTTTGTGTTTATAATTTAGAATACAAAATGGATATTGAACAACATGTATGTGGATGTGGTGATATTTTCACAAATAAAAGTGACCTGGTTAATCATTGTTTAATACATAATCATAGACAATCGGTAATCGTTAAAAACAAAAATTTCATTGCTATGTCAGAAGCAAAACGTCTAAAAATTGATACTGGAAATGGAAAGAAACTAAAAAAACATCATTGTATGAATTCAGTTGGTTCCGGTTTTGTTACACTACAATCAGCTTTGAACAATAATGTTCATACGTTTTTCTCAAAAAACAACACAGACATAACTCAAGTTGTAGAGTATATGATTGATGTTTGTGATGATTTAATTACGTTACTTGAAAATTCAACATCTGCAGGACTGGTAAAATTCAACGTTGTTTTACATGCTACGTATTTCCATCCAGTAACGGGGGAAGTTAAAGACGTAGCTTTCAAAACACGGAATAAACGTATTGATTCTGGAACTAATTACGTTGAGTTGATGAGCAAACTTATTATGATACTCGAGTTGGAGAGAGAAAATTTAGATGTGAAATCGTCGGGTTGGACATTACTTTTTATTGATGGTTTGTTAGTTCGAACTCACAAGTACAAACCATTGACAGGATCTTCATTTATTGAACTTCCGAATTGTATAAAAAACAGAAATGCAGTAATAAATATTAAAAACGAAGATAACATGTGTTTCAAATGGTCAGTATTGTGTAAATATAATACTAGTCATAATAAAGTTTTGATAAATGAACGCTATAAACTCTTAGAACAACAGATGAAAATAAACTTTAACGGTATTGATTTCCCCACTCCAATTCAACAAATCAACAAATTCGAACGAATTAACCCGTCAATATCAGTAAACGTCTTCGCGTTGGATGACAGAAAAAATGTATATCCGTTGAGAATTACGAAAAAACGCAGTGATGTGATTGATCACATTGATTTGTTGATGTTGACATCGAGCGATGGTAACAATCATTATTGTTACAATATGCATACATACTGTCCAAGCAATACGAACAACAACAGCAGCAACAATTATCAAACATCGTCTGCCCAATCAAGAGACTTAAAGAAATTAAAAAACTCAAAGGAGTGACATCGGGTGTGGTCGCAACTAAAATAAACATGAGCGATTATCTTCATTGTCTAAAGACCAAATTGACTCAATCACATAAAGTTTCAGTCATACGATCAAAACTTCATGAAGTCATAACCATGGATACACAGAAACTGTCGTTGAGCAACTCGTACGATAAGAGGGCCCTGGTCGGTGGTTCCGATGAATACCCCGATATTTACACCAAGGCATGGGGTCATTATTCACTCAAAGAAAATAATTAATAATCTATTTTGTAATAATTGTATAATATTTCTCTTGATTAAATAAAATCAAATATTTTGAAGAAGAAATCAAATAAAATATATTGCAAAAAAATTGTATAATATTATTAAGTAATTTTTACGTGATTATATATTTTACGAATAGTATGTTCTGTACAATATTTTGTTTATACAACACTAATATTAAGCTTACAGTTGTATTATAAATAATTAAATATGATAATAATGATTTATATAATAAAAAAAATCAATCAAGAAAAATCTGTTAACCATTTTTTCAAACAAAACACTTTGTATAGACTACATGCTCTATAGTTATTCATGTGTCGAATACAACAAGGTTCAGAGGCAAGGTGTAGATTTTTCAGCGGTGGACATCCCAAATCTTCCATTTCAACGACACGTTGTCCGGGTAAGTATCGTTCAATGACTTCCTTTTTCTGCACACCCTTCACGTAGACGACTTCACTGCGCATCAAATTGATTATTCTCGGTAGTTCTGTATACTCTACGTCTCCACACAATGTATCCATTCCATGGTGATACATTTTTAACCAATAGTTGGTCTTTGAGTCACCGACTGTGTTGACAGGATGTTTGAACATCCAGTGATATACAGAAGTAGAATCCATGGCCACTACAGACATTTCCTTGATCAAAAATGAATGATCATTGGACGCAGCGGATACAACTCCTTGTATGTCGACAATCAGTGCGGATAAATATCTGTTTTCAGTATCCACGAGTTGTGTTCGGCACCGAATCCCAGCCATTTTACATAACACTGGTCACCTCGTGTGAGCAACACTCGCTCAACTAAGTAACTGTCAGGATACTGTGTTCGCTGTAGCTCTTCAGTGTAGAATTTTCCCGAAATCGGATTACCTTGGTAGTCCTCAAGATGATATGTTGGTGGTACTGTACGAGATACCTTAACCACAGTAAACAGCTCACTACTCCAGCTCGGCAAGTAACCCTTGTCAAACACGGATTTAACCTTGGATATTCGTACGTTGTCACCAACTTTAAATCGTACAGCAATGTTGTCGGATATTTTGCGCAACTTTAACTGAACACTACCGGGATTTTCCACAGCCTGCACCGGAGTCATACCAATGGTACGGTGCCGGTGATTGTTGTTATATTCGTAAACTAGGGCGGGCAGACTTGCAACCCATTTGTACGACCCTCGAGCGGTGAAACTACGCCACATTAACCCTTTCAAAGTGCGATTGAAGCGTTCGACCAGACAAGCCTTCATAGTTGAGTATGTCGAGTAGTGTTTTATGTCATACTGGCGCATAAGTTCTTGAAAAGTTCCATTATAGAATTCTTTTCCAGCATCCGTCTGTAAAAAGCTCGGCTTTCGGCCCTGTGTCAGTATGCTACGCATTGCCGCGGTAACTTTTACCGCAGTCTTGTCCAGTAGTGGTATAGCCCACGCATACTTTGAAAAACCATCGATACAAGTGAGAATGTACCGATACCGGCGGTCCGGGTGTGTACCCATTTCCACGAGGTCAGCATGCCACAAGTCGTCGAGTCCTTTGATGTTGATTCGCTGACGTGTGTACACCTTGCGGGCTTGTCGATGCAACTCGTATGCAATCTTTGTCTTCATCTCGGCTACCATCTTTATGCTATGGTCATCAGTGACTGCGGTATTCCATCAATGTACCCGGCTTCGTTGAGTTCTTCAAGTATAGATACAATCTCGGGTGACACTCCAGTGTTGCCAGCCGATCGGGCAGCCATGAGTAGTCTTAACCGATCTACAAGTTCATTAGGATTATCCCAAAACAAGTACTCTTTGTGTGCAGCAGCGTTTGGATTAAGTCTCAACTCCAGACCGGTACCAACATGAAACATTGGATCAATAATTTGTTTAAACTTGTATCCACCCTTTTTTAATGTTTTGTTCCTTTTCAAATGAGCACCGGTTTCTGTTAAAATTTGTTTGTACACGTTCAAATCACTTTGGTTGTACACACCGGGGTTTTTGGAAAACAACAATTGCACCAGACCCATGGTCAATGGATATTCCGTTTCGTTTAAAATGATGGATGTATCGGTGATTTTCACATCTTTGACACTGCCCATCACAATAGTGTTATTTGTCAGTGTCGGTCCGTATTGTCTGTCTCTGTTTGAATGCGTCAGCCATTGTGCAATGTAATCACTCCATTGTTCACCTCCACTGGATTGAACTACATGATTACCATCGGTCAATTGCGGTTGCTGCTGCTGATGCTGCTGTATAGATGAGAGTTTATCAAGTGGTTCGATAATCGGAGCGAATTTCCTCTGGACTCGTGCTTGCG